GTTTACGGTACACCATCACCTCCATCACACCTGCTCCAAATGTCATGTTAGTGGTGTTCAGGGTCAGATGGGAGGAGGAGCCATCACATGTCTCAAAATACTGGCCTGTGAGGGAAACCACAGGATGATGGTCCATTTGTGTGCTTACATTATGTAAAGTGAATTATTAAAACACTGATATCAATCGGGTCAGTGAATGGCTGACACTCACCCATGGTGTGCCACACATACACATAACCTCTACGTCTCCAGTCATTGGTCTGAGGAAAAGGCTTTCCATCAGGGAAAACATTGCACCTCTTCAGATCTGTACACTTCCCAAAGCCATAGTCATCCAACCAGGATGTCCAGTTTAACACGTATCCTGAACGCACATGTCCATTGGCTGAAAAATAAGTGAAGGTTTTAGACACACAGATGAAAAAAGCATTTCTTCCTTTTTTGGGAATATAAATGCAACCTTTTAAAATACAGGTCACTTTTTTCCTTGCAATTGTACATTGTTTAGAGATTACAGGGGTATGAAGCACCTGAGGCCTCCATCATCCCGTCCCCACAGTGCTCATCATACACCAGGTTGCCGCTGCTGTCCTCCTTCTGGCATGGTGGAAACTCCAGAGCTGCAGTGAAGGAGATGCACCAGCCGTTCATTGCAGGACTGTCGTTCGTAAGGCGCACCCTCGGTGGTTTATCTGTGAGAGAGCATTAAAAGATTAGCGTGTGGTCATTCCTGTCACGCAGCACATTTTTCTGTCCCCATCTTGTATATGTTAATATAGTTGAGAAAATCAATCTCTCTTGTCAAGACAAAACGGGGAACATTCATCAACTTAAGAAGGTACATAAGGTTTCAAACTGTTTTTCATTTGAAAAAATATTTAAACATCTGAAATATTTACACAAACTCAAATAGAAATTGATTAAAAGAAGGCTTACACAATTTTTAAAGGAAAACAATTATGAAATATTCCAGCCTTTTTCCCCTTAATTCCTCTAATCGAAATGTTTTAAACAAAACATGTTTTCTTTAAAATATTGTTTAAATTGGTAGTATTTTTTTCCCTTCTGTGGCCTTAGTATGAATTTGAATGTTTTCTTTAAAATATTTGTTAAATTTGGTGTTTTCCCCCCCCCCCCCAAATGTAGTCTTAGTATGACTTTCCATCCTGTCAAACTGTTGTACTTTAACATACTTTAACCAATGAGATTATCGTCCTCCTGGACGGAAGTGACATCATAATTGGTGGTTAAAAAAAACAGCACAAATAACTAAATATTGGCGATCTGATGATTCAATGTGTGGTATTAATTGGTTTGTATCGCTCTAAAACGTTCTATTATGTTTGAAAAAAACTACAGAAATTATTTAGACAAATTATTATCTCGCCATTGTGTAAAATGTATTTAATAATCACGTTATAATTAATACATTTTGAGTACCCGAGTCTGTATGGTTTACACTTTAAAAAAAAAAAAGTTTCCTATTTATTCTGTAATTTTGCGTATGTTACGTGAATCAAACTTTACTACATAGCAGGAGACTCTTACCATGTCTGCGATTCAGCTGTTGTTTGAAGTGGGGGTACAGAGATTCGTCCCAAGGGTTCGTGTCCGGTTCCCATCCAGGGATTGGGAATGGAAAAGGGAGTTTGTGTTTGTGAGGGAACATGTCACCATAAGCTGCACGAATGACAGGGGGGAAAATACATCGTGAAAGCCTTCTGAACTGACACCTCGATTACCCAAAGATTTCGTGGCCAAACACGAAGTAGCCTAAATAAATGGACTATAATTTACCTGGATTAGGCATTTTAAATTTCGTAAAATATAACAGGGAAAGCTGGGCTTGTTACTTTCTGCTGGGCTGTATATACAGAAACAGACATAAACCTAAAAAAAAGTCGACCCACTCTGAGAAATATTCACTGCAGGAGTGAAAATGTGACAACTTGCCCCAGTCTCCCCTGAAAGGAGTCTTGAAATGCGTTTAATTTACGCATTTAAATATTTAAGCTTATTTGCATTATATGTTTATGGATACTTTTCCCCCCCGAAGTAAGATACTGAAAAAGTTTGTACAGTCTGGTGGGTGAACGAAAGTATTTTCTCAAGACTTTCTGGTTACTCTCACTATACTCTCTAATTAGTTTCATGAGACTGCAGTGCGCGGAAGAAAACAGCCCTATTCCAACACAATGTAAAAACATTGAAGTTATGTATATATTTGTTTTATTACTCAATCTCGTCGGCTTTTTATGAATTTAGACATTAGCATCAATTTTATAGTCTAGTCTCTATAAAATAGTTTAGTTTTAGTGGTTTATATAAAAATATGTTATAATCTCGATTTAACAATCGCTTGTCAAAATTATTATAAAAATAAAATAAAAACTTAACTAACTGCTTTAAAATGTAAGAATTATAAATATTCACTGCTGAAAAAAAAAGTATTTTCAAATGAATAATTTCGTTAAGTAAGTTAGCCTACTTACTTTTTTTGCTGTTCGTTACAGGAACGAACAACGCCCAGACCAGCACAAGAAACATTCCCGAATGCATCAAGTCGATTTGTTGGATGTAAATACAAATACAATTTATCCAAGGGCTTTTTTCTTGTATGTCCCCCACTCCAGCTGCTCGATCTCAGACCCCTCAACTCTCTGTTTCTCTTGCTCCCCTCTCACAGTCATCCGCACGAGCTCTTATTTAATACAGCAAGCATGTGACGTTTCTGTAACAAGTCTCATCTGACACTTAATTAGGATCTATGGGCGCGAGCTGAGAGGAGAGCTCGGAGTCTCATGTTGTTACTTTTCCCTTGTATTTCGAAACAGGCAATTTCAAAATCATCTCATTTATCTCCGATTGTTGGCTTTATGCTTTATGATCTCGTTTAAAACAAATGGTGCACTGTAGCCTATATATTATCCTCTATGAGATATCCTTGATCTGTCTCAGAGTCCTTTTTGAGAAAAGTCAATTTTTTGTTAGATATCAGGGTCAGAAATGTCAGAGAGGTTAATATGGGGATACATTTTTAACATCTAGCCAAATCTAAAACGCATAGCTACTCCACGTTATAAGAAATGTAATCTTTGTTAATTCTTTTTGAGAAACATACTAATGTCCTCAACATTTCTGACAATGGATACACTTGAGTGTACTACTTAATCATTATTAAAAAATAAAAAATAAAAATCAAACACGTTTCAGTAGGCTATGTTTGAATGAATCAAATAATATTTTCTTTGAGTTACAAACGTCACTGACTATGATTTGTGGAGAAATTTGTTTAAAATATTAGGCTAAAAAACTTCGCTGCTCTTAAACATTTATTAGGATACTCTACAAAAATATACAAAAATAAAGAGGTCTGTTCAAGATAGGCTATTGTCTGTTTTGCATTTGAATAATGCGTGTTTTGAATAACTCCTTAAAGACAAAAACAATAAGCATGACAAAAAATTTCATAACTAGCATAAACTAAAAGTATATGCAAGTGAATGAACATAAAATTGTGTAAATATGAATTAATCAGAATGGTCTTTTGAAGTTTAGGCTACTATAAATTAAACTATACTTAACATAAACGGTATGGATTTTATTGTTTTATATTTGTGATCCACACAATGTCAGTTAAAATTCGTATAGGCTGCTGCATATTTAAAATAGCATAATTGCGTGAAAGCACTCTCAGTTGTGTCTACACGCAACTGTTTGTGCTGTCTTGAAATTAAAACTGTGCAAACATTTACCTAAAGCTGTCATAAGAAAAACTTGCCGTCTCATTGCATAAGATGTTCGAGACATAAGCCGTGATTTGCACAGATCCGCGCGCTTTCAGGTGACAAGTTGGGAAACAGCTGGAGGTCAAAGGGAGGAACGATTTGGAGAACATTTCCAAAGCACAACTCCTTCTTGATTTATTTTAAATGAAGACTAAAATAGTTAGCTAAAATACAGAAACTATAACATTAGGAAAAGTAAGCAATTATGAGGGTTAGCCTGTAATGTTGATTATTCTAATCATAAATAAATATCCATAAAGGAAACTGGCATGCCATCACATGCTTTGATGCGTCTCTCACGAGCTCAGTTTGAAAGTTCCTTCCAGTTTTTAATGTGGGGGGGGGGAGAAGTATGAAAAGTATGTGTTGACTGACCACTCTGCATGCTATTTCTAATTCTTTCCGGCTGTTCAAGAACAGTCACGTTGCGATGTTTCCTTTGGTCAGCAGGGGCTACCGATCTCCTCACCTGCTTCAGGTGCACTTCAGAAACGCTCTTGTGTTTAATTTTTAGCAAAATATCCAATGTGTAATCTTTATACACTAAATCCTAAGGCACATGCATTTTTTTAACTAAAGCACTGTTAACAATCAAAATAATGACAGACTTGTTAGCAAATTGCATTATTTCAGTCAAAAATATTTTTCTGCAGTTTACGCGCAGTAGTAGCCTAGCCTATATTATTTTTGTCATAAACATTTCCATCATTGTCTTGCTTCTGTATATATTGATAATTTCATAATTAGCACTGTATGTACCTTAAATAGATATAAATAAACAATGTTGTTAATATTTTAATTATTTAATATTGTTATGAAATAAAAATGTTTTGCACTTTGCGAGATCGCTGGGTGGCGCTACAGACTCTGTTCACCAACCGTAAACACAGACGAAGAAGAAACGTCACCGGAGTGACAGAGGTGAATGATTTGAAAGTATTCTGCCTCGTGAGCTTATTAGCTCTTTATGCTTTGTCAGCTTTACTTTTTAGTATTGCTAATACTTAATTTTAAAGGTCTACTGAACATGAAACAGATTATTTAGTTAATAACAGTTAAATTGCTTACTGCTCACGTGTGTGAATGTCACTTCATATCAGCTGTTATGAAGAAACTCTCATTTCCGATTTCGGTGTTCTTAGTTATTATTTAAAAACCATCAATAACTAACTTGCTTTCTGTCTGATAATATTATCAGGCGTTGGACAGGGATCAGACCGTCATATCCGATCATGAGTGTCCCGTGTTTTGTGAGAACGGCGGCCAGAAGTATCGCCGGTGGATCAGGACAGTTCAGACTAGCTGTTTGCTGTTCATGTAAAAACACAGTCACACGGTGAGTATCCAGAATTCTGGAGCTCTTTCTACAGGCTTTGGACATGGTGGTTGTGTTTGAAAACCCAGTGAGCTGGCTACCTAGTTGACATGAAAAAAGCAAGCAAAAACATGCTTTCTGGTTAGTAGGGAGCTCACCATGTTTTGAGACACAGCCAGTCCTTTTTGCTTAACTTAAACTTCCCTAAATTTGTTTCAGAAAAATGTCATCCAGGAGACAGACTGACCATCTAGAAAGAACTGCTAGCGTTCATAGACAAATGGTGAGTCTTCTTAGATTTCTTTATGAAACCCTTGACCTGCTGAGCATAGATTCCTCTGTGACTCCTTCTAAATGGTTAACAAATGTTGTAGCCAAGCAGGTGAAAGTTCAGACACTTGTTCTGTGTTGTAGGTCAGCCAGTGTGTCATTTGATTTTTGTCTTGAGACTAAATTCAAGAGGATGCAATCAGGCATTTGTTTGTTTGTTTATTTATTCACTCTAGATATGTAGCATACTGTATAGTATTTAAGTTCAAGTTCAAGTCTGCTTTATTGTCAATTCTTCCACATGTACAGCACATACATACAGAGAATTGAAATTGCGTTACTCTCAGACCCTTGGTGCATACAGATAACACTAACAGTAGAACATAAAATACAGATAGATACAGATTAAATATAAAATACAGCTATACAAATATACAAATAAGGTCATGTAAAAAAAATAAAAATAAAGCAGCACATGGCAGATAGAGTGCAAACCAGTGAAGTAAACAAACAGTGCAGATATAATGATTGTAGTGCAAAAGAGCTTGTTTTGATTAAAGTGACAGTATAGTGTTATTTTATTAAAATGCTATACCCTTTTTCCTGTCATGCTATTTCTTGTTATGAATGTGTGTAGAGTTTGAAGTTGTAAAAATGTATAATGGCTCCCATTTGTACATCTGCATGGCATAATGCATTACATTTAAATGCTGAGAGGCTGAAATGTGGAAATTTTGTTGCAAATTCTCTGTAAAGACACAATTTTATGTTTTGTGTGTGTCCAGGAACTTTTCTCTGCACGTGTTTGTGACATTATGAATGAATCTGATTCAGTAAAGAGACTGAGACTGGAGGTGCCACATCCTGACTTCAGCTTCCGCGCTGGACAGTGGTAAGAACTGTAACTTTGTGAAATATGTATTGTAAGTAGGGCTGTGCAAAAAATCGAATGCGATTTTCATGCGCATCTCGTCAGTAAAGCCGGTTCTGTGATTAGTAGTAAATCTCCAGCACGTGCTTTCAGATGGAGCGGCATTTACTACACAGAGCAGTAGATCACTGACAAGCTACACAAAATCGCAGGCGATTTATTGCCTCAGTGCTGGAGATTTACTACTAATCACAGAACCGGCTTTACTGACGAGATGCGCATGAAAATCGCATTCGATTTTTTTGCCCAGCCCTAATTGTAAGCATCTAATATTGATGATAATAATAAATGATATCCAGTATAATCTGATGGGGGTTGTGGGGTACATAGGACAATAACTTAAAAAGCCCTATATAAAGGTGTTCCTAGATGTTACTATATTTTTACTTGAAAGTGACTGATGAGAAGACATGCAGTTTGCAAAATGGCCAGGAGATGGCTCCTCTCACACAAAATTCTCATTTGTTATCAGCAAACCATGCAAAATAATGAAAATCTATTCGTGCCACTTTCTCTCTCACTTTTGCTCTCGTTCACGTTGTGCCTTATTGCATTTGTTGTGTATGTGTGTGAGTTTTGAGAGAGTGTGCGTGAGGTGAAAAAGTCAGGCGATGATTTATGCAGATGTATGCACAGAAACTCCTCCAGACCATATGATGTCGTGTTCCTTTTGTAAATTGCACTATTTCAGTGCTCTGTGGACTCTCCGGTAACTGTGAGGGTGGGAGGTAACTTCTACTTTGACCCTCAACCTTCTGACCCTGTGGTGGACCTGTTGCTGATAGCTGGTGGTGTTGGCATCAACCCTCTGTACTCCATCCTGCTGCACGCAGCTGATCTGCTTAAACACACTCACCTGTGCTACAGCGCCAAGAACACCAAAGAGCTGCTCTTCAAGGTATGTATGTACCCTTGACTTGTCATTGAAGTGAGATTGAAGCTGCCGACTGATTTTTAGATATTTGCTGTCTTCAGAACACCATTATTGACATTTGTCAGGAGCGACCAGATAAATTCTCCTGCGATTTCCATGTTACCCAACAGAGCTCTGACATAGAGCAGGAACTTCAGCCTTACACCATAAGTGAGTTGCACACATCAACATTTTATATTTTGATTACCTATAATCTGCAATCTTTTAATTCATTGAACTATTTTTAGATGTGATGTCACATGAGATTTTCTTGTGTCTTTTCAGATGGAAGGATATCAGAAGAGGAACTTAAGCGCCATGTAGATCCTGAGCACACATTGTGTTATCTTTGTGGCCCTCCTCCTATGATAGAGAAAGTGAATTCAGACCTGCAGAAAGTCGGCCTATCGGAGGACAGAATCCTTTTTGAGAAATGGTGGTAGCTCCACAACTCAGATAATCACAGCGATGGATGCATCTGCATCATCATAGAAACAGACTGTAATGGCAATGGACCAGTAAAGCCTTTGAGATCAACAGACGCTATGTCTGCATTCTCCACATTTAAAGGGATAGTTCACCCAAAAATGAAAATTACCCCATGATTTACTAACCCTCAAGCCATCCTAGTTGTATATGACTTTCTTCTTTCCGACGAATACAATCGGAGTTATATTTAAAAATGTCCTGGCTCTTCCAAGCTTTAAATTGGCAGGCAGTGAATGGGTGATATTCAATAGTCCAGTAGAAGTCCGATAAAGTGCATCCATCCATCATTAAGTCTCCCACACGGCTCCAGGGGGATAATAAAGGCCTGCTGAAGCCAATCAATGTGTCAATCAAATGAACGCGGAAGCACAGAGGAGAGAGCAAAACAAAAAAAAATGGTAACGAATTAGAAGTACAAAACGAGGATTTGTATAGAAAAATGTCAGAGGATTTCGATATAAGCCAAGAGGAGACTGGTTTTCCTTTGCTAAACAATGGAAACTTTGATTCCTTTGCTTCTGTAAACAAACCTTGGTTCTCACGAGACTATCATATTCTAGTTAGTGGAAGCTAGAGATTACTGTTTATAAAGTTTTAAATATGGATATTTTTATTACATAAATGCATCGATTCGCTTCAGGAGGCCTTTATTAACCCCCCGGAACCGTGTGGAGCACTTTTTATGATGGATGGACACAGTTTATTGGACTTTTATTGGACTATTGAATATCACCACCCATTCACTGCCATTATAAAGCTTGGAAGAGCCAGGACATTTTTTAATATAACTCCAATTGTATTTGTCTGAAAGAAGAAAGTCATATACAACTAGGATGGCTTGAGGGTGAGTAAATCATGGGGTAATTTTCATTTTTGGGTGAGCTATGCCTTTAAACAAACAATTCTCTAGACACTGTCCTGTTTTTGTTATACCTCATTTTAAAGATAGACTCAACAAATTGACCATAAACAGCACTGTAATGCTCTACATTATAGTTAATTTGCTGGTTAATGGCATAGCGTCCTGCTTCAAGGGCATCATAAAAGATTGCACTGGGTGTTTCAGAGATCTGTGTATAATGTTGTAATATGTTGTTTGCATTTTAGAACACATATTTATTCAGTAAAAATGTTAGGGGCATGGAAATTATCAGTTGTGCAAAATAATATAAAACATTTTTGCTCATGAATATAGTCCTAATGTACTAAAAGATGCTAAACATGGTCCCTTTAAAGGGATATTCCACCCAAAATTTTAAATTCTCTCATTTACACATGCTCATGTCATCCCAAATGAATGAATCTTCTGATGAATTCAAACTGAGATTTTTAGTAAAATAATTCATTAATCCATATAATACAAGTGGATGGAACCCTCAAAGTTGATGCTTCAAAAACCACACCAAGTGACCATGACAGCACTCATATGACCCCAGCGGATGAATCGAGCTCTATCGTTGTACTCAGCGGGTGTTGCATTCCTTCAGTCCAAAAGACGTGAAATAAAAAGCACCCTTCCACAAAAAAAAGTGTCTCACATTAATATAACTCCGACTGGATTCGTCTGAAAGAAGAAAGTCATATACACCTAGTATGCATCGGGGGTGAGTAAAACACAGCCTAATTTTTATTTTTGGGTGAACTAACCCTTTAAGGCAAGTCAGTTCACTTGGTGGCCATATTTGTAACATCCCATGGGTGGCTATTTCCATATTTGCAAGTACAGCTCCACGTTGTCTCATCAGACTTGTGTTTTCTCTCTCCATTCGTTCCATTTCTCTCTCAATTGTTGCCAGCGGTGATATCTCCCTCTCTGGTGTCCTTTTATTATTGAAGTTCCTTTTGTTTTGACCTCTGAGGTGCAGTTTCTGGAAAACATACACACAAACTGTCAAGACACTGTGCTACTTTTGAAGATTTTAAAGTGAACTGACAATGCTATTACAATTTCACACAGTTTTATAAGACAGCTCTCAGCTCAAATCTAATTTTAGCAGAAATAAACTTTGTGCCATGTATACACACAGTCAAGTCTCTCCTCTTGCGAGGCAGCGTGGGTCTCTGGAGGAAGAGGATCTGTTTTGTGGCCAAACTTCCATCACTAAGACAAAAATAAATCGGAGGTAATAAAATCTGTAAGAATTATAATTTTTTCTTTCGACACAACTGTTAAGTTTTTTTGCAGGTAATATATATCCTATTATTAGCCCCTGAAGTGCAACAGTGAATGTAATGCTCTTGTTTAAAGGCATAGTTCACCCAAAAATGAAAATTTTATGAAAATGTACTTACCCTCACGTCATCCAAGATGTAGATGAGTTTGTTTCTCCATTCGAATTTGGAGGAATTTAGTGTTACTTCACTTGCTCACCACATCATAAAACGTAATCCACATGACTCCAGTCCATCAATTAACATCTTATGAAGTCAAAAGCTGTGTGTTTGTAAGAAACAAATCCATCAAGATGTTTCTAACTTTAATTAGTTGCTTCTGTCTAAAATATGAGTCCCTTTATCCATAATATTGCTTTCTCCAGTGAAATTGATGGACTGGAGTCATTTGGATTACTTGTGGATTATTGTGATTCTTTTATCAGATATTTTGACTCTCATTCTGACGGCACCCATTCACTGCAGAGGATCCACTGGTGAGCAAGTGGTGTAATTATATATTTTTTCCAAATCTGTTCTGATGAAGAAACAAACTCATCAACATCTTGGATCGAGAACAATTTTTTTCAGCAAATTTTTACTTTTGGTGAACTCTTCCTTTAAGCGTTTAGTATGGATTTGGAACCTTTTCATTTTGACGATGGGAGTGGGCAGAACACACATTAGTCTCCAGCCATATGGAGCCAAAGACTGAAGCAGAGGGATGTAGTCTGTTTTCACCGCAACACCCTGCAAAACAGAAGTGCCATTTAAACAATGTGTTAAAGGATTTCACTAATGTCCTATTGAGACATATCGTATGAATGTGCACATGTGTCTGCATTCATTTAAAAGGCGGTGTGTAAGAAGAAAGGTGTAAATGTTCCACAAATAATAATTAATTGAATTCAATTTGGGATGCACCACTGCAGACTTACATCAATAAGAGTCCATTGCTCAACTACAATGGCGTCATACACTGCGGCTGGCCTGGCATCAACTGAAGCACTTTGGAAGATAAAAACACTCTCCACAGTGGAAGAAGATGCTGAAGATAGAGCAAGAAAAGGATTGGAAAATGTTGATAGAGATGGTTGATCATTTGTTTCAGAGTTATCTGGGTAAAACTGCTGAGTAGGTTAACAAAATAATTGAAAATGTATTATTCTAGTTTTTATTATTCATTAATTTTTTATAGAAGTTTATGCATTTGATCTTTTCTATATTTTTATCACTACTTTATTAAAACTTTTATATTAAGTGGCCCCTTTCTTTACTAAAAAGTGCTGTTAGTCCTGTTACACATTTGTATTTTCATTACCAAAAAGTGTAGTTACCAATGTCCTGTTACAAATTTGTACTTACACATACTATTCAGTGGGTTGTTACATGTGTAGTTACACAAACATTACAGCTGTAGATACTATGTACCAATATGTACTTACACTGTGGTTACATACTATGTACACATCTAGTTACTATGTAAGTATACAGGTATTAGGGCCACTTAATATAAAGTGGGACCAAAACTTCTTAAAGAATAAATGTGATGCATTAGTAAAATGTATGTTTTTACATTCAGGAAAATGTACTGCTCCCTCTCAGTTATTTTCTAAAATGTCACAACATGTCCAGTACCTGCATCGTCTCCCAGGTGAAAGTAGCCGTCGATGAGTTGCGCGCCACTTCTGAAGTGCTGCGTCATGTGGTCCAGCCAATGGGAGTCAACCGAGCTAACAAGCCCCGCCTCCCTGCGCACCTGCAGTGGAACCCTCAAAGAAAAAAACTTTGGCGATCCCGCCAGAACTATCGAATGGTTGTACAGCGCGAACACCTGCACACCTACACATACAGAGACAAATATTTAGTAAGTGTTTTTATGACTTATATGTCGATGTCTCTTCACATTAATTTAAAAAGTTAAAGAGTAAGATAATTGCGAACCAATATTACGTTGCTACGGGTATTCAAACAACATCACGATTGAGAGTGACAGCCTACTGATAATATACAACAGCTGAACAAGAAGTTAATTTTGAGTAACTTTCATTTTAGACACAATATTGCCAGTTGCTTTGTCTATTTTTTTTGTTCCCCAAACGAAAATAATTCTGAAGGAACAGCGCGTCTCCGAGCAACAGACACCAGTCGCGTTCCTGACTGAATCAGTGTGTTTGAACGAATAGGTTGAGTGAATGACTCACTTATAAAGATGCTTCCTTCCTGAGAGAATGAGAGGGTTTGGTTGCGAGAATGATACCACGTAATGTATTTTATGCCAATAATGATATTCTACTATGGTGTCAATTATCTTTCCGGTTACATCTTAGTCTTTTTCAGGTATTTTAAGGGAAACAATTATGAATTGTATCAACACAATGAAAGTGAATTGAACCAAATAATGACCAATACTGAGATTTCATGATGCATCACTAGTAAAGAATTGTAATCAAATCAGATTATTTTCAGAGCAAATATTTACACACCTAGAAATTACAAATTGCTTATCTTATTTGATACATTATTTTGATATAATCTAAGCAAATAACACGTCCCCTCCCCCCCACCAACCCTTTCTCTATATTTCAACAGACTACACACTCACGATTCAGCATCGGGGGGGTTCCGGTGCGCTTGCTGTGTTTGTCTTGGCTTTTGACCTGCTCTTTGTGCTCTCTTTTGTTGTTTTCTGCCAAATCACAGCTGGGCAAGTTCGGCTGCATTCTAATACTCTGGGTCTGATGTGGCTCTGGTGCACAAGAGCTTAATATAAACTCATGTGATGGCACTTGGTTCTTTAAATCCTCAGCTTGCGTACATTCACCTTCAACATTTAAGTACTGATAATCTGGACACTGATGGTTCTTAGTGAACGGATTCTGATTATTCCAACACTGGCTGCTCTCAGGGCTTTGTATTTGAAAGCTGTGGCTCATAAAGTCTTCATTGTCTGAATTAAAGTTTGTACGATTCTGGTTTCGATGATCCCCATTGTCTCTATCCTGTTGGCTCTGCTCGCTCGCAGGGCTGAGGGTTGGAGGTCCCTGATGCACAGAACAGGGACTGGAGTGCAAGGAGGAAAGATCTTCTGGTTCCCAGTGACCAAGGAAACCGGGTTGCGGCAAAAAACCCACAAACAGATCACCCTGATCAGCCAAATCCTGCACCTGCATCCCCCAGAACGACCAGGACCAATAGAAGAAATATTCATCAGTAACATCACTAAAAAAGTCTACAATCAAAGCTGACAATGAAAGTAACTGGATTCCAATGTAATATAAATAATTTTAAAGTGTCTTTGGAGGAGAAAGGTAGTGCGTTTTCCAGCAGATGCTTTTAAAATAAGCTCTGTGGAACTGTGACGAAATGCTAATGAAAACCATATTTTCCAATCATCATACTGTCACGCCAAACACACGCATACATCTAAATCATCAGTAAATGTCACACGGCTCAAACACTACCACACACACACACACACACACACACTCAAACACTGCTTATCTCCAAATAAATGTAATTACTGAAAAGGCGAGGGGGTGACGACTAATGGAATGGCAGATGAATGTGAGGTGTCAGTGTCTATGGAGCAGCCTGTCAGATTATGTTTTCTGTTTTACAGCCGTATTGTAAGACCATGATAGAGAGAGTTTGAAGTAAGTGGGTTTTTGGTGTCATCTTAAATGAAGGGATGACATTAAGTAAGACACAAAATTTTTGTAACTGAATGACAAACAAATTGACCTACTGCTCTCTGTTTGAATGAAAACAAATGCACTTTTAAAGAAGGTCTAAGGTCTAACCTTTTTTACATAGCCCTGTATAACTTCTGGGTCAGGGTCCTGGTGACCGAGGTAACACACGTCTGTCGTGAGATGAGGCTCAACCCAGTTCAGCAGGCCACTATCAGAACCACTGTAACAAAAAAGCAAAACATAGCCACTTTTGAACATCCATAATTAAAAAAAATATGAAATCAAAATAGACCATATTTACCTTCTTAATGCACAATCTTTGTCTTATTGTAAATGATTCATATGCAAATCTTATTCCAAAAAATGATTAATCATTTTTTTGTAATCAAAATATAATAAATTATATTCCTGTCATGTGACCTGGATAGGATCTGCTACTATGCAGTATATAAAAGTAATATTTTTTATAAAGTAATATTGTGAAATATTAGTACAATTTAAATAGCTGTTTTCTGTTTGAACGGTAGTGTGCCTCAATTTTAAATGTCTGCATTTTAATTTTTAATTGACCTGACAATTTTACACAAACTAAAATGCAAAGTAATTCTTTTTATTTCCGACATGATCACTGGACACCACTCACTGATTAAATAATGCAACATAGTAGTATATAGTGCAAAAATATTACTGTTTAAAATGTTTGTTGATGTGTACAGAACACTGTTTCTGTGCAATAAGCAATATGTAGTATTCTATTCCTTGTGTATACCTGTGTGTTTCTCGGATGAGCACGGCTCGGTGTAACTGCTTCTGAAGGTTAGCACTAGCAGGGCCGCAGGAGTGAACAAAGGGATGGACAGCAGCCAGTACGAATCCCTTCTGATACAACTCACACACCTGTAGCGGAAGCTCTCTGACTGACGACAGACACAGCAATGAGGACACTGCCACCTCTGAAGAGACAGACAGACAGACAGAGAGAGAGAGAGAGAGTCAGGGAGGCACAGAGAGAGAAATGAGAAGAGAAAGAAAAAAATACATAAAACATTTAATCTTTCAACTATCATCAATTTGTCCTGACACAGCTACTCCTGCTAAAAAAATGAACTGATATAACCCAGAAAAAAAGTTATTTTGAACTTTCTTTTCATCAGGGAATACTGAAAAAAATATATCATGGTTTCCACAATATTGAACAGTACAAATGTTTTGGACAGTGAGAAATGTTTCTTAAGCAGCAAATCAGCTACTACTGTTTTTACTGTATATTTAATTAAATAAATGCAGCCTTGGTGAACATATGTCAGCATATGTCAGTATACCAAAATTGAATTAAATGATGCCTAATATAGGCACTTTTATAACACTATATCAGCATGATTACATGTATTCAACTCGACCACATACACACAAAAAAAAAAAATGTAAAAAGTAGAAATTGGGAAGATGAATGATGTAAGACAGAAATGAGAAGATAAGCATGAACAATTTCATTCACAGCATCTCTGCCAAATAAAGTGTTAGCATGCTCACTTTCTGACATGGTTACTGACACACACAAACTGAGTCGCTGTAGAAATTGTTTGAAAGTATTTTGGTGAAACGTTTTTTTTTTACAAGCAATTTGTTTCTGGAATCAGTAATTAAACTTAATTTCCAGCGCTCATTATTCAGAGCACTATTAAGGGTAGCAGTGTGCTGTAATCTGAGCACTGCTTGACTGCAATCATCTTTCAGAGGTGTGAGGAGCTTGTTTAAACAAAACTGTGACCGTCTGAACATGCTTTGACTCTGAGGGGGGTTTATTAGTGTTTCCACTGAATAAATAACTGCACAGATGAACGTATTGGTGAATTGAGTACAAATGTGTGATTCAGTCTTCAGTGTCACATGATCCTCAAGAAATCATTCTAATATGCTGATTTGGTGCTCAAGAAACTTATTATTATTATTATCAATGTTGAAAACAGTTGGAAATTGTATCTCTCTAAAATATGACAAAAGAAAGATCACATTTAAAAACAGAAATAACACCAAACAGAGTAAAATGTTCAGTATATAAGTACAAAGACATGGGGGCACAGATAGCATCTGACCTATGTATCTCTCATGACACACCCATGAACCTTCACCAAATAACAAAACCTGTTTGCATTCATCAAGTAGTGCTGAAACTGCGGAAGTGTCTTAGACTTTATGACGTCTATTAACTCCACTCCAGTCCAGAGCATGAACTATATTAACCAGCGCATCACACGAAAGGCCCGCGGCAAAGGACTCTCTATGCTGTAGCTGTGTGAGAGAATGAGAAAATATGTTTGTTTATGTAAGACGGACACACAAAGAGATTTCACTGCTCCTGAAAGACCAAATATATGATAACCTGTCCCTATATTTATTACAGGGGAATTCCACCTTCATAAAGCAGAATTTACTCAGTCGGGGGTTAAACATTCGGGTAAACAGTCAATCTCAGCAACAAACTCCACCTCAAGAATGCAGCTCTCTAAACGAATATCCCTCAGTGTAATGTACAAGGTCTTAAAATGAGAAGCAGAGACTTTGGCAAATCAGTTAAACCCCAGCTGCAGAGAAATATGTTTTTGACATTTTAGCACAATCACACTGTCTAAATCCTTTTTGGGCCGTCTGGATCTAGCAACTGTGTCTTAAACACCTAGACAATCACAGATTTGAACATACTGTACTCAAGTTGTTAGCGTAACCAAGTATGATTAGCGCTAAAATCCAAACACACTGTATGGATCTGTTCTGTCTAACAGGATTTGTACTGTTTTTTTTTTTTTAAATCAATGATTGGACATAACAGGAAAATAAGTATCAGCTTATTGACCAGAATTAATATCCACGCATCCCTTTTATTGACCAATCAGCATCCAGGACTAGAACTATCCATTTTTTAAATAACACTTACTCATTTATTATTTAAACAAAGTTGTTCATTGTGTTTTAAATGCCATAGTTATTCAATTTCTTTGAAGCATTCCTCTGAATGATTCTTTGAACTAAATGTGTTAGTAGCAAATCTATTAGATAGCCGTCCCTTCTCCTGCTGTGCTGACCTATCAGAACGGCTCTCTAAATATTGATATGACATAAATATTAAAGTAAGTGTTTATATGAATCATAAGTATAAGGAATTCTTGCTGCTTATGAGTGTGATGTTGGGTCCTCGGGGGTCTTATTTTATTTTGTAATAACCCGACAGGGAGTGGAATTGCATTATTTATAGAGACCAATTTTAATTAAAACAAGATTTGGCTATAAATACAGTTCAGGGTCACTAGGACGACTGTCTATACTGACAGCTATTCTGTTGCGATAAATCCTGAACAGATAAATCCAAGATTTAAGTACTAAGCCCTCCCATCTTCAAGATCAGATAATCTTCAAAGAATGCCTAGCATTTTTCTCTCTCTCCCTGTTTTTTCACTCTCTGTCTTTGTTATTTCATCCCTGTCAATCATTCACATTCATTAAGTCACTTGTCGTTGCTTTCAATATTGATGCCCTAAAACAAACAAACAAACAAACATATTCGAACATCTCTGGCTCTCACTCGTGCTGTCACAGCAGTTTGCAGTGAAACTCTTCTTCTGTGTCTCTGTAGGCATCAGTGAGTTTTACATATAAATGGCCTGCCTGCCTGTCTACCGATAAGCAGCTAAAACAGAAAGCCTGGAGTCTGTGTGTGTGTGTGTGTCCAGAACTTGAACGACTGCCGCTATCCCAGTTCTCACATATTCTTTTTTTTTATTTTTTATAAATAAATATTTGATCCAGGTCACACACACACACACACACACACGTTGTATGTGTTAAATTTAAGTAGTAAAAGCAATATTTTGGATAAACTAACACTATTTAAATTATTGCTAAATAAGCCTAGAGAGAGTGGTCAGGACCGACGCTTAATGTCTACATAGAAGCAATTCGTCTTAAGGATACATTAACAATAGTATATTCATAAATATTAACGAAGATTTATAACATTTATAAATGCATTTAAAGAATTATGTTCATTGTTAGTTCATAATACAAAAGGCATTAAAAGAATCCAACTTTATAGTACACTTTTAACATGGTGGAGTTAATAAAGAGACTTTCCATTGACTTCTATTGTTTTATACTAAGCTCATGCTATTTTCTATGCCCTAAACTTCACATATGGACCATTTCATATTTTTCAGTAAAGGGGTTCTATTATGCTCTTTTACAAAGTCTTGATTTTGTTTTGGGGGTGTACTAGAACAGGTTCTCATACTAACACATACTAACACATTATTTTTCACATATTTTACATTAATACAACACCTCTCTCCCCAGTCTGGCATGAACGGCTCAAATAGTTCCTGTATTAGTGTTGGGTCGTTCTTGAACGATTCGTTCATTTTGAACGAATCTTTAATGTGACTCGGGAAGAACGAGTCGTCTCGGGGAGTGATTCGTTCAGTCGCGCATGCGCAACATCCTATAGGTTCTTTACTGGAATTAGTCCAGTAGTTCACCTGGTTCGAGTCTTCGGGTTTTTCCGAGTCGTTCGTTCATTACGTGACAGCCCCATAAGCTTTAACCAATGCAGTCTGAGCCGGAAAGAGAATTGATTAGTTCATCCATCGAGTCTTCGGGTTTGAGTCGTTCCTTCATCACGTGACAGCCCCATACGCTTTAACCA